ATTTGGTATATGGCAAAAATGTCATTTCAAATCAGGGAGAAGAGATGGCTACTCATTAAGTGGTGCAGACACAGGTAGAAAGTCATTTCAAAAAAAGCATACCTCTTTCCTTATATCAAAAATGAATTCCATTTGACCAATGATTCTAACAGAGAAAGGCAAGGTATAAAAGATAATGGTGATATACTGACAAATTATTTGACTTCTGCTTTTGAGTGTGGGCTACATTTAGTGACTCACTTCCAACTAGTAGTGTATGGGAAAAGAAGAATATTAACTTTCCAGTGAAGAAATATGGCAGACACTTTAAACAAGTGATCGAGTTTAATACTGCCAGCAATAAGACATACTGGTGTCACATACTCCTGATATGGTTACATGAGAAGGGCTCTTCGTCTCTGTGGTATACTTCCACCAAATCTATAACCTCAGTCTAATCGTGAGAAGTCATGACAAACTCAGATTGAGAGTCATTCCACAAAATGCCTGGCCAGTCCATATGGAAAGTGTCAAGGTCAAGAAAGACAAGAAAAGAAGAGAAACTGTCACGCTGAAGTAGACTGAGGAGGAGATATGACAACTAAAAGCAATGTGGTGCCCTGGATTGGATCCTGGAACGGAAAAAGGAAATTTGAATAAAGTCTATAGTTTAGTTACTGGCATTGTATTAATGTTAATTTCTTAGTTTTGATAATTATACTATAGTTATGTAAGAAGTTAACCTGAGCAAAGGGTTTATGGAAACTCTGTGCTATCTTTTCAACTCTCCTGCACATCTAAAATTATTTCAAAATAAAAATTAAAAAATAAAGCTTATGATACAAAGTTAACAAAAAGGGTCAAAGGCCCAAACTTAAGAGTTAAAACTATAAAATTATTTTTGTGACCTTAGAACAATGATTTCTTAGCTATGCCACCAAAAGCAGAATCAATAAAAAATAGGTAAGTTGTACTTCATCAAAACTAAAACTTTGTGCTTCAAAGGACACCACCAAGAAAGTAAAAAGATAACCCATGAAATGGGAGAAAATATTTGCAAATCATATATATGATAAAGGACATATATCTAGCATATCTAAATAACTTATTTCTAATAATAATAAAAACCAATTAAATCAGCCAAAGATTCTAAATAGACATTGCTCCAAAGGAGATATATATAAGTAGTCAATAAATACATGAAAAGATGTTCAACATCATTAACCATCAGGGAAATACAAATAAAAACCATAATAAGATACCACTTTATATCCACTAGGGCAGTTATAGTCAATAAGGTAGATAATAACAAGTGATAATGAGCATGCGGAAAAACTGGAAACCTCATGTACTGCTGGTGGGAATGTTAAATGGTCAGCCACTTTGGAAAACAGACTGGCAGTTCCTTAAACTGTGAAACATAGAGTTCCTATCTGACTCACTCCTAAGTATATACCTAAAATAAATAAAAACATATGTCTACATAAAACTTTATACAAATATTGATAGTTGCATTATTCATAACAGTCAAAAAGTGAAAACAACTAAAATGTCCACTAGTGAATTGATAAATAAAGTGGTATATCCATATGATGGAATATCATTCAGCAATAAAAAGAAATTAAGAAGTGATATATGCTACAACATGGATGAACCTTGAAAACATTATGCTAAGTGAGGGAAGCCAGCCACAAAAAAACACATATTACATGAGTCCATGCATATGAAATATCCAGAATAGACTCATTTACAGAGACAGGAAGTTGATTAGTTGTTGTATGGCACTGAAGGGGTTGGGAGTGGCTGCTAATGGGTATAGAGTTTCTATTCCGGGTGATGAAAATGTTCCAAAATGGACTGTGGTAATGGTTGCACAACTCTGTGAATATACTAAAAGCCATTGAATTGTACACTTTAGCTGGTGTGAACTGTATGATATGTAATATATCTCAATAAAACTGTTATAAAAAAAGACCATTTAGAGTCACATACAAAAGATTATAATGAAACCACTGGTAATTTTTTTTAGAGTCTTAGATTGGAAAGGTTATGGTAAAAATTTCAAAAATCATTAAATCATTTAACTAAAAAGCTAAAATGTCTATATGATTAAAAATGATATAAATATAAATGTCTTGCTTAGTTGTCTATATGCTATCAATAGATAACATAGTTCTTAAGTATTTGTCTTTTCCTTGTTGTGGGATACCCTATTTTTAGGACTATCAGGCACACTGGACCATAAGATGCACACAGCTTTTAGAGGAGAAAAATAGAAAAAAAATGTTTGAAGCAAAACATGATAAAATATTTAATAACCTGTGATCCCACTCCACAGCCTCCCACACCCACAGCGAGCCAGGTAAGTGACATTTGGACTATAAGATGCACCCTCATTTTCCTCCCAAATTTGGGAGTTGTGTCTTATAGTCCAAAAATATGGTAAGTCCCAGTCTTAGCCTATACTTACAGGTATAAATACTTGTTGACTGAATATCAGACCATCCTTTTTACACTTTCTGTTACTAGCATACTTGTTTATAATTCACTCATGGTATTACAAAATAGGTTAATGCATTTTGTTTTTAACTGTTATTCTCTGTATAAATGCAAGCTGAGTTATAAATCAGAAGCATTAAAAGATGAACATAAACCCTGGCTGGTGTAGCTCAGTGGATTGAGTGCGGGCTGCAAACCAAAGCATCGCAGGTTCGATTCCCAGTCAGTGCACATGCCTGGGTTGCAGGCCACGGCTCCCAGCAACTGCACATTGATGTTTCTCTCTCTCTCTTTCTCCCTCCCTTCCCTCTCTAAAAATAAATAAATAAAATCTTAAAAAAAAAGAGGAACATAAGGGAAAGAAAAGATAAATTTATAGAGTGGAAGAAAATATCTGCAAAACACATAGCTGCTAAAGGGCTGGCATTCAAAATATCCAAAGAACTCATAAAATTCAAAAAGAAAACAACTAAAAAAGTGGGCAAAAGATCTGAACTGACAACTCACCAAAGAAATACAGATATACAGATAGAAAATAAGCATATGAAAAAACACTGAACATCTTATGTTATCAGGGGTACAAAAAAGTCATGACCTTTATTCCTTTTCTGAAAACAAATCTGATATTTCACTTTAAAGATGTGTACACTTAGGCACCTTGGCTGAATTTTCCTAGAGAAGTGAAGTCAAAAGTCCATTGAACTCATAACAACACCCTATCAAAGTCACACTGACAGTGCATTTGCACCCTTCCCTGTTTCCAGTAGTTCTAACACTAGGCTATGAAAATGGCAATGGTTTAAGCATCCAAAGAAATTGGAAATGCCAATTTTGGTGAAATTTTGTTAGCACTTGGCTCAAGAATTACTTCAACTAAATTAGGCAGGACAGACAGCATCTGAGTACTTTGATATTCCTATATATATATGTGTGTGTGTGTGTGTGTGTATAGATAGATACATCTACACATTAGGTGTTGTAATACATGCAGGAGAAACAGGAACTATAAACAAAATTCTACTTATTTAATATATGATGACCAAATATGACAAAATTCCACTTCAGTGAAATTCACATAAGAAAGTCCTTGAATTTGCGATATACTTGTTTACTACATAACTGAAAATTAACTTAATAAACTAAGATAAACAAAATTAAACCAGTTGTAAGAGAATTAAGATTCTGTTGTGAAATTCTTCTTATAATTTTTTTTTGTTTTTAAGTAAAACAAAACTAACCACCATCCACACCGTCCGAATGCATCATTCTACCTTTTTTTTTTAAGTGAAAGGAGAGGTAATATGGTATTTTCACGAGTCATCGTGATGGTTCTAGGAGCACCCATAACATGATAAGCTCCTGGAGTTAATGTTAAGACAATGTAGAAATATTCCTGGCTCTAGATATAATTTTGTGACTTAGAATATGAATGTTAATCATGATGTAACAGATCAGACTTCAAACAGAATATAAATGTTAATCATGACGGGACAGATCAGACTTCAAATTCTTGAAAATAGTCTAGGGTGGCGACAAAGACGCAACTCAGGTCAACACGAAGGGGAAAAACCTGTGTAAATATTTCATCTATTTCCAACAATGCAACAGATAATACCTGAGCTTTGGGATAGGGTCACGACCAGAATTTGGGACGATTCAAATCAGGAGTGCTCAGGGGGACCGTGTTGATAAGTTTCCCCCGCTCATGACCTTTAGCCTAGTTGTCAATTCTTCCGACTCGACAACAGCAGGGAGAACCTAGGGTCCACCACCTGGCGCAGACAGCGTGACCTTTGTCCTAGTTTAGCCTGAGAAAGCCGAGGAAAGGAGACTTGGGAGGAGAGAGGTGCCTACAGTCCCCAGGTGTGACCCTGTCTGTTCTTCCCTAACTACTCGACCTTTCTGCACTTATTCCCTTCCCGAAATCCCCTCTCACCCGGGCAGGACAGCCTGGCTGACGGCACCAACATGTTCACCGTAAGCAGGACTCTCGTCGGATACAGCGGAAGGACTGCCAGTAGCTCGCTGCAAGCGCTGGACCTCTAGGCCTCAGGGGGCGCCATCACCTGCCGGGAAGCACCAACCCCTCAGCTGAAGTTTGTCTCTACGCTCAGCTGACAGCTTTGGTTTCTCGGCGTTCCCGCCTCTTTCTCTTTCTGCGCCGGCGCCACGCATGACGCAATGGCCAGCCGAGTCTTCAGTGTCCCGGGAAAAAAAAAAAAAAAAGGAAAACAGGGACTCCAAGTCCCAGCGTGGCCCGCGGCTTCAGGTTGTCAATTGTGTCTGCGCTGTGGTCTCACAAGTCCCATAGTTCAATGCGCAGCGATGCGTATAGCATTCTGGAAGTTGTAGTTTTCTTGCAGAAGTCTCTACAGAGCTTTGCGCAGGAGCAGTGAGCTGCCCTGCGAAGGGCGAATTGACTGACATCTGATTGGCTGTCCGGGAAAAAGAACCATCTTTGCTGTATTCGGTGAACACCCACTAGGAGAATGGGCTGGATTTCGGGTGGGAGGGGCGGGGCCTCTGGGTTTAGGGCGCGAGCAGTTGAAAGACAGTTGGTGTCGGTTCTGCCAAGTTCGGGTTCTGCAGTCTGCCTTTCTCCATGGCAGATCATGAAGAGGTGCGGGTTTCTTCGCAGCCCTCGCCGCCTTCCTTCTCTCCCTCGTCTTCAGACGCCTCTTCAACATCTTCCCCCAGCGTCCCAGTGAGTTTGGACTGGCGTATTCCGAGCAAGGGAAGCGGCCAAACAGTGGACCCGCTGGAGGAAGTGGAGTTGCAGATCGGAGACGTGAGTGTCGCCCTACAGGTCTCGGGGCAACGTCTCCTCTAGCTCCTGTTGAAAGATGGACCGCGGCGGGGCCGGGGAGGGAGGGACTGGGATTCCGTACACCCAGCTTGGCGCATCTCTTCCTTCTGCCCCCTGAGGATTCCGCCTTTAGATTTAGTGTTGAGGAATTAGGGGTTATTCCTCCACCCGCCCCCTGACTCAGTCTTTTTGCTTCGCCTTCTGGTTTCAATCATCCCTGTAACCCGAAACCACGCAGCTCTGCTGCAAGGATTTGTGCTGCCTCTGTCCGCCCTGTTATCTTCCCTTCTTTCTGTCTGTGGGCGCTTGGGATCAGGCTGTGATTTTTCTCTCTGTGGGGCTCAAGAGCCCGCTGTTCTAGTTGGCCACCTGCCCAGAGCCAGCTGACAATGCTAATGTCTATTTCAGGCATTCTTTTCTCTGGACCGAGTTTGGAGGGGTTAGTCCCCGCCCCTGTAGCCCAGATTGGTGTCTTTTAACGGCTTAGACAAAGATCCCTCCCTCTAATTGCTAGAATGCATGGGCCATTGGTCTCTGTTGAATCTCGAATTTCCAGAAAATAACACGCGCACGCGCACACAAGCTGCAACCCTAACATAGACACCATCAGAGGAGGAGGGGGTGGACGGGCACAATTTCAGTATTTAAGGACTCTTGAGTGGGTCAGGTGAATGAGGTATTTAGGGTGTAATCCTCCTGGGAGAACTTTGTGAAATAAATTGGAAACTGGGGAGTGAACTTGATCATCTCATGGATCAAATATTTGTTTTCTTCAAAAATGCACAAAGTGCTGATACAGCTATTTTTCTGAACAAGACTGATTTCAAGTGAATATGTAGAATAAGTGCAGATGTGTTATCTGGGAAGTGTTATTTTATATCGTAGAAGAAAACATTTAATTCAAGAAGTGAGTTTCCCCCTAAAAGTTCGGTATTTTCTGCATGTGTTTTGATTATGTTGAATTTATTTGTCAGCTAAGAGTATCTGTTCTTTGGTCTATACATTTTCATGGTCTAAAGTGTTCAAAGGTAGAAGGATGGAACGATGCCCTTGTTACCCAAATATCAGTAAGAATTTTTTATAAAGTCCTTGAGATACTTCTGGTACTTGGTGTCAAAGGGTCCAAGTAACCTTGTTGAGCCAAAAGAGACTCCAGTGTATTTTCAAATAAAAAAAAATACCAACTTGTCATGTCTCATACATAATGGGTATTTTTCTAGCTTACTTCATATGAAAGAATTTTTTAGTTTCCCTGAAAGAGCTGCTGTTTCAGTTTGCAGATTTTTTTTACTTTTAAAGAAAATAACTTCAGCATTGGAGTTAAGGTTTTAAGCTATTTTTAGAATATAAAATAAGATGAGGATTTAAGGAATAAATTCTATTGTTTGTCTTTTTTTTAAATTTCAGGCAGCATTTTCACTAACCAAACTTCTTGAAGCCACGTCTGCAGTATCAGCTCAAGTGGAAGAGCTTGCCTTCAAATGTACAGAAAATGCACGCTTCCTTAAAAGATGGCGGGATCTCTTGAAAGAAGGCTATGATTCTCTGAAGCCTGACAACTGATTTGACTGTGAAACAACTCCTGCTTCCTCATTTATGATATTTGCACATGTACCATAGGTATAGTAAAATCTCCAGTAGTTCTGTATATTCAAAATGAAATTTTTCTTGGTTTTATTTACTTGAAATAAATAATAAAGTAATCTGTGAAAGCAGATTACTGTTGTTGTTTTTGATGCTGGCTATTATTTGTTTACCTTAAATACAGTCTGTCTAAACTTTTATAGAATCTTTCATGAAAGTTAATTTCATCAGTAGATGATAATTCCACAGTGTTCCTAATAGCAAACTAGGTAGAACATTATTCTATTTGATTTGCAAGAAGATGCCAAGAATGACTGTGTTTGAAGTTCAGCTTCATTTTATAATGTTAGATCCAGCTCCATTAGGCTAAGTTCTCTAGAACTGAACACTGTATCTTACTCCTATATCCCCAGCACCCAAAACAGTGTCCCGTAATCACTCTTAAGTTGGTTGGATAAAAGAGTTGGCAACATAATTAAAATCTATTTTTTCCTCCCTGTTTTTAGTAAGAAGGTTATAATTGTTTCTCAAAAAAAAAATTTGTAGTCAAATATTTACATGGATTTGAACTTTAACTGATGACAGCTTTTTAAAATATATAATAATTATTTTTTGCTCTTCTGTGATACTTTTTAAAAAAGCTTTTTACTTCAGAAAATACAGGCAGGTACAGAAAGAATGCATGTTTTTTCCCTTTTTATTTCTAAGGTTAACTGCTTCTACAGATAATATTTCTTGCATTTCATGTTGTTAGGTCTTTGATTTCTCTCTGTAAAGTGCCTTATCACAATTATGGTTCTGTACTGTTGCTTTTGGAGCTTTGTAAGCAATAATTGTAAATTCTAAACATAATAATTTTAAAGAAGTTACTTTGTTTTTAGTGCAAAAATTTAAATGATGTCATTATTTTGATGTTATTTGACTTTATTGGCAATGTTCTATTTTACTTGTTCTGTATGTTGTTACTTTCTCTGTCTCTGTCTCTCTGTCTAGTGGTTTGTGTCATGTGTCAATGATTAAGCCAATTAATTTTCTACTATATAACTCTGGACATCTTTGATATAGCATCTTAATTCTTTCTAGATATGGAGATGTGTACAGAACTGTATTGTAAAGCTCCACAATGGGGCTATGAAAGGGAACAAATGGATGGGCAAAGAATAGTTTTGTGTAGCTTATTAGGTCATAGTTCTTGAATAATTTTTTTAAGTTAAAGATAATACATATAGCCCTGGCTGATGTGGCTTTGTGGATTGAGCGCTGGCCTGAGAACCGAAAGGTTGCTTGTTCCATTTCCAGTCAGGGCACATGCCTGGGTTGCGGGCCACGTCCCCAGCTGGGGTCTTGAAGAAGCAACTGATCAATGTATGTCTCACACATTGATGTTTCTCACCTTCTCTTTCTCCCTCCCTTCCCCTCCCTCTAAAAGTAAATAAATAAAATCTTAAAAAAAAATAACACATATAGTATGTACCAGTACCACAGAATTGCATATTTTCATATTAGAAAAATATTTTTCTAATGTGTCATGAAAATTGAAATTTTAAAATGTACAAAAATAAACTTGTTAAAAGCAAATTTTATTTCTATTTCTTTGGGTCCATTACTCTAAAATGTTTTATTGAAGTATTTCAGACATAACAGGATAGGTGAATGATTTAAAGGACACTAGTGCATTTCTACCATACAGATTTAATAAATGTTAGCATTTGGCTAAATTTTCTTCAGATCTATGTTTGTATAGAGGTTACTCTTGTTTGGAGAGGTGGAAGGATGGAAGAGTGAGTGAATTGAATAGACAGGAAACCAAATGGCTTCAAGAAAAGCATTTGAAAATATTTTCAATGCTAAAAGATAGTTTTAGAATTACATGCATATTTTGTAAATTCACAGCATTTCTAAGACTGTCAGACATAGGTCACAATCATAATTTTTGTAGGAATGTATTTTATCCTGTCTTTATGATCACTGCTTTAGTTCTTTTCTAGATATGCTTAGGAAAAATAATTTTCCATTCCATTATTTAATACTAGCAGGACTACTTCTTTAATAAATAATCCTAACATAACCTTTGAAAATAATTTAAATGTATTTTTACTTTTGTAAGCTGTTTTTTAAAAAGTTTTTATTCACTTATTTTTTAGAGAGAAGGGGGAAGGGAAGGGGAAAGAGAGGGAGAGAAACATCAATGTGTGGTTGTCTCTCATGCGCCCTATTCTGGGGACTTGACCTGGAACCCAGGCATGTCCCCTGACTGGGAATTGAATGTGCGATCCTTCGGTTTGCAGGCCTGTGTTCAAACCACTGAGCTACACCAGCTAGGGCTACTTTTGTAGGCTTTTAAAAAATTATAGTCTAAGTAGTTAGAGAATTGAATATTACAAGCAGAATTGTAGCTTTTTTGCTCTGGCTGGTGTGGGGCAGTGGATTGAGCGCTGGCCTGGGAACCAGAAGATTGTGGGTTCTATTCCCTATCAGGGCATATGCCTGGGTTCTGGGCCAGGTCACAGGTTGGGGATGTGTGGAAAACAACTAAACAATGTTTCTCTCTTCCTTCCCTCTCTCTAAAAATAAATAAAACCTTAAGAAAATAGCTTTCTAGCCCTGGCTTGTGTAGCTCCGTGGACTGAGTGTGGGCTGCGAACCAAAGGGTTGCTGGTTGGATTCCCAGTCAGGGCTCACACCTGGGTTTTGGGTCAGGGTTTTGGGGACAGGGTTTTGTCCCCAGTGGTCAGGGATGTGTAAAAGGCAACCATACATTGATGTTTCTTTCTCCTTCCCTGACCTTCTCTCTAAAAAGTGAATAAATAAATTCTTTTTTTAAAAAAGAAAATAGCTTTCTATTCCGATTTTTTTTAAAAAGATTTTATTTTTAGAGAGAAGGGTAGGGAGGGGAAAAGAGGGGGAGGGAAACATCAATGTGTGGTTGCCTCTAGCACACTCCCTACTGGGGACATGGCCTGCAACCCAGGCATGTGTCCTGACTGGGAATTGAACTGGTGACACTTTGATTCGAAGGCCCACGCTCAATCCACTGAGCCACACCAGCCAGGGCTCTGTTCTGATTTTTATTGAAAGTGTATCACATTTCTCATGTAGAAGACTAATTGAAACTATTTCAAGTAGGAACAGAAAGGACTCAAAGCAACCCATATTTTTAATAGGGTTATATTGCAGGTAAATTATTTTCAAAAGAAATCTATACAATTATATACTCAATATTTTTTGATTCCAGTATTTTTATGTTTCGAACATTTCTGGTATATTTAAAACCACCTGAAAACATTTTATTTTTTTAAAGTTTTCAATTTATGAAAGCATAAAATTCCTATAGCTCAGAGACCAGAAGAATAACTAGCAAAAAAGTATGATCTGTTTGGCTGTGCAAAACAGAAGGTAAATCCATCTCTTGATAACAACTGCTTTCTCTTTAGAGCAAACATGTATGTAAAGACCTTTCCTTCCTGAAGTTAGGTTCCTGAATGTGTGCATTCTAGCTCTACTTTCTTTTTCCTTGTAACTGCTTTATTGAGATACAATTTCCATACCATAAAATTCATCAGTCTAAAACGTGTGGCTTTTACTATAATTGCAGAATTGTTTATACATCACCATATAACAATTTTAGAACGTTTTCTTTCACCCAAAAAGATATTCTCCACTTCCTAGGCATCACCCTTCCAACCTTCCCTCCCCCAGCAAACTCTAATCTTTTTGTCTCTATGAATTTGCTCATACTAGGTATTTCATGTAAGGGGAATCACGCAGTATTTGTTCTTTCTGGTTTATTTCACATTCATCATGTAGCATGGATCAGAACTTAATTCCTTTTTATGGCTGACTAATATTCCATTGTATGCATCTACATTTTATCTATCCATCAGTTGATAGGCAGTTGGGTTACCTCCATCTTTTGGCTACTGTGAGTAATGCCGAAATGGGTATTTCCATGCAAGTGTCTGTCTGAGGCCTGTTTCCAACTCCTGGGTCATGCCCAGGCCTGAAATGGCTGGATCATATTGTAATCCTATGATAAGCCTTTGAGGAACCACTAACCTTTTTTCTACAGTGGCTGCACCATTTCACCTTCAAACCAGCAATGTGGAAGGGGTTTTAATCTCCATATCCTTGCCAACATGGTATTTTTTAAATTATGGCCCTCTTAGTAAGTGTGATGTGTTATCTCATTGTGGTTTTGATTTGCATTTACCTAGTTATTTGTGATGTTGAGCATTTTTTCATGTGCTTATTGGCCATTTGTATATCTTTGGAGAAATGTCCAAGTCCTTTGCCCATTTTTGTAATACAGCTCCTTGTCTTTTTTTGTTGAGTTGTAGGAGTTCTTTAAAGAAGCCCTCTCAAATATATGATTTCTAAGTATTTTCTTTCATTATGTAGGTAGTTTTTTCCACTTTTTTGATAATGTCCTTTGATACACAAAAATTTTTCATTTAGATGAAATTTATTTTTTCCTTTTGTTGTTGCTTATGCTTTTATTGTCTGTCATATCTAAGGATCAGTTGCCAACTCCAAGGTCTTGAAGACTTAGCCTTCCTCTAAGAGTTTTATGTCTTATATTTAGGTTGTTAATTTATGCTGAGTTAATTTTTATATACAGTATAAGGTAGGGGTCAAACTTCATTCTTTTACATGTGAGTTGTCCCAGCATCATGTGCTGAAAAGACTGTTTTTTCTTCATTTGATTGTCTTGGCATTTTGTTGAAAATTAATTTACTGTAAATGTGAAAGTTTTCTTTCTGGACTCTCAAATTCTGTTCCATTGATCTAAATGTCTATCCTCATCCTAACTTTTCTGATTCACTCCTTATCAACACTTTCTCCTTTTCTAACCCCATATGAAGTTCTTAAAGAAAACAGAAAACTGGACAAGAAGTAGCAGAGAAGTGCTGTTTTGAGTTTATATTGGGTTCATAGCAATAAATACATTATATTGGCTCTCAAGTATATGGAGACTTGAGACAGTTAAGATGAATTCTCAAAACAGAATATCTGTATTTTGCAAACAATCAGACATTTTTTTCTCTGATGCTTTTATATTGAGTGTTCCAAAACCTTAACCCCTTAGTTCAAACTGTCCGTGATTCTGATGTTTGCTGACATGCATGGCAGACAAAGCTCTACTTGAAACTAAGAGCTGCAGGTGGACTTTGTATATTTTGTAAACATAGTTTAACATTGAACATTGAGAATGTTCTATACTACTTCCAGGAATTTACCGCAGTGCCATGCACATAGAGGGTACTCAAGAAGTGCAAAAAGAGTGAACGAATTTGAAGTAGATTTCTCTTAAATTTCCTATGCAAAATATGTGCTAGTATATATGCATTATCAATATAATTGATTCCCCTAATTTATTTTAGCCATTAATAGAAATTATTAATTTTGTGGCATTCATTTTAGGCTAATCCATTTTGAAGCACCCCAATGGAGTTCCGAGTCAGCTATGAACAGGAATTGAGTCTGGTTGATTGAGAAATTAGTGACAATTCATAGGAGTCTCTGAAAAGAGCTGGCTTCATTAACTTAGGTGGCATCTCCTGCAGTGGCCACATTTCTACCCAGATGAATGATGGAGCATGTGTTTTCTGACTTCTTTTCCTGCCAATAGATCTTCTTTGTCTGTAGTTATTCCAGAGTTGGTGGATCATTTCTTTGAATGGTCTTGTGGTCAGAGTGTAGAGAATTGGGTTCAAAGCACTGTTGATAGGCAAAATAAAAATCACTACCCAAGAGGTTATAGTACCTGGAAGGGAAAAATAGATTTCGTATTTATGGATGTTTGCTAGTCATAGAAACCTTTTTTCCTTGTTTCTACCCCAACCCCCTTTTGAATCTTTATTTTTTTCCATTTGATGTTACATAATTAAAGACAGTCTATCTGTGTTTCCAGGATGTCTTTCCAGGGTGCCAGTATTTGAGAGGAGTGTTGGTGCTTCAAAAAATCAGGGTTTGTTGCTAAATAGCTTTTCTAGAACACATCAGTAAAGTATTCCATCAGGTGGAAACATTTTTCTTCAAGTGGTTACATAGTATTTTAATATGATTCCATTTTAGGAAAAACTGTTGTTTAGTATTAAATCATACCTTTGAAATGTTTTAAATACTAGATAGTACATAAAGTATTGCTCAGAATGTATACTTTAATAAATTTCTTTTCAACTATTTCATTTATTTTTAAAAAATAGGTATGTATTTTTAGGCTTTTCACTAGCTATAATATTTATTTCAATAAAAGCACCTTTGACTAACATCTTAGAAAATAACTGTAGTATGTATCTGCAACTACTCATATTTTT